AAAAGAAAAGTGAAATATGTTCTGCAATAATATTGGCATCTTATGCAATTCATCCTCAAAACACAGCTGTTGCTTGTCAGATGCAATCAAATGGACGATAATAAAATGATGCCATCACAATGCGTAATGACGCTGATGGCTGATCTTGCGCTCTTAGAAGATGCGGCAAATGGAAGGATTCGCGCTGTAGTGCAGCGCACCATCGGCCTGTTTAAGGGCAGATGGCGCTGCCTCGACTGCGCTGGAGGGAGATCATTGTTTACTCCTGAAAAGGTGTGCAAAATTGTGCTGGCATGTGCTGTGCTACATAATGTGGCTTCGAAACTTTCGAAACGTACCTCAACCCCCTGACGCCGATGTCGGTGTTGTCCCAGACCCTGTCCCCGATCCCCAATCATTGCCGCCAGTCTCTCATCAAGAGGGGACAGCTCCAGTGTCCCCTTTCCCCCACCCGTGGCAGGAACACTTCAACGATGGCGCGCTAAACGCTTTTTTGCATCCACTTTGATGTCAGACCATTTTTTCTTTATTTCGGCCACGGCCCGAGGTTGTGAGGCTGCAGCGTTGCTGTGCAACCTTTTGCCACTCAAGTGCCTTTAGTAATGCCCATACTGTGCCCGCCAAAAAGCATGATTTGCTCAAATGAAAATGCCTCGAGGGAGCTAACAAATCTGCATATTGGGGAAGATTATTAAATAATTTCTATGTATCTGCTGGACCTGGAAAACAGGCCAGCGGGACTGTACGGCTTCAGATAGGTGTTCAGTCATACTAATCAAGAATGCAGGAGGTTTTCATGAGAATAAAAGATGTCTGATGTGAAATTGTTTTAAAAGCCTTTGGGGGTTTATTTTACAGGGGGAAAAAGATAATAGTCATTTTCTTAAATGTCACAAAAACGTTACGAGGGTGAACATTCTCCAGGTCTTGCGTTTAGGGTCAATCAGCCGCCGCTCACCCTTAAACCTGCCATGTGAGAGACATCATTCTTTGCTCAGCGGAGTCTGTTAAAAGTTTTCGGAGCTATTTAAATAGTTTCTGAATGTCTCGTCTCGTTTCCTCGTTAATGAAATCATCCAGGAAGCTGGTGTTCAGCCGGCCTCGTTCTTGCATTCAAGCAGCAAACTGGATGAACAATTAGGCGCACTAATCTCATGAGAGGCAGCATTTACCTTCCCATGAATAATTTAGCATTTAACCAGCTGAAGCTGATAACAACGAAATGTATTTCCCTCCACCGCGCGGAGGCTGCAGTCACCCGAGTTTGTTTTTTTTCTCCCAAATTGCCATGACTGGCTGATGTTTGAAGTCAGCGAATGTGAGAGAACATCAGTTAGGAGGAGGATGCCGTAAGCGCTGCAGCACAAGTAATGTATTTCTGAGCTGCAGGTTGTAACGCTTCGGCGACTATTGTCACAACCTCTACTTCTTCATCCCTCAGCAGTGAAGGTCACTCTCCCTGTGGTGCTGGGTACTAGTGTTGGGTTACAATATTTTACATTATACAGTGGCTTTTGAAGCATGTTCGGTTTTCTAGTTTTTCTATATAATGTTTTAAAGCATATCCAATTTGATGGTTTTTGATTCTTCCAACTGTTCTGATCAAATCAAAAGCGTACATTCAAAATGTAAAACAAATTATGCCAATTGGTCAATTTCAGGGCGATACAGTCAAAATGTTCCACTAGTGCATGAGCGCGCTGGGAGTGTCCTTTGGCAAGATGCAAATTGCCTTCAATAATCACTGGGATCAAGTTAATGGAGAGGAGGGAATAGCAAGAACAGGAAGAAAAACTCCTCTTATTGGAGTCTTAAATGCAGTTTGAGTATGTGAGTCATCCTCTAAAGTTTGAAAAATCAAAATGTCATTTCCTTTCCTCTCCTATTTTACTTCTGATTGAACTCCATGGCTTGTGCAAATGAGCCGACGGGTTCAGCGAGAAGATATGAGGCAAAACCCTCTACCCTAAAAAGAAACCGCTTTAGGGCTCTCTGTGTTTAATCCGCTTAGATTTTCACAGTACCTTGGAGGTGTGTTGAGTTCCTCCGTTGTGGTTTTTATATTAAGTACCCCTTGTTGACCATGAGTGAATATTCAGACCTTAATTAAATTAGTTAAAATCTTTAATTAAGTGTCTGGGAGGCAACTTTGTATTTATTTTGACTGAATAAGGCGAAGAACAAGGCAGGACCGAGGGCAGGGAGAACAAGAAGCCAAAACATCTCACCAACCTCAATGTTAATGCATTAAGATATTTAAAAACTTTGAACTAATAGTCAGGTCACTCATTAACCCATAAACCTTGAAGATTCCTTCTCAGGATCGTGAACATCTCTACAATAGTGCTTGACAATTCATCCGATAGCTGTTGAGCTCATTTAATCTGGACCGAAGTGGAGAACCATCAGACATAGATTGCAATTGATGGAGCCACAATCCTAACACGTTTAAAACAACCAACCTTCATCCCTCCATGTGAAACACAGAAATAATACAATGCAATTTAAAGGCCTACAATTATGATTATAAATATTATTCAATATCATTTCCACAGATTCTGAAAAACGAGACACTTTTTTTATACAGACGGGGACATGGAGCAGGCCAGTCCAAGGACAATCTAAAACCACTGAAAATCCCAATAAAAACCAATAGACCAGAAGGATCCATACACTAGATCAATACACCTGGCGGCAGCAGACTTATGAGACAGCTCGGCCATTTGAAGATGAATGCATTTCCCTGACGTGCCGGACAGGAGTGAAGAAAAGAGTCTCAAAGTGAGCGCTGCTGCCGGAGCCCTCGGCAGCATCTGTGACACCAGTGCTCAGGTCACGGAGCCGTGGCCATAAATAACTCAACCAGAAACAATAACCCGCAATAAGAATTTGTCATCCTGTGGGCGTAAGTGATATACTGGACCCCTCGCAATCAGTCTACACCGATACGTCTGTTTATTTCTATCTGAGTCACAAAAACTCCTCCAAACCGTGTGCTTCTAACTTTGTGGCAAGAGCTTCTCTTATTGCCTCTCCTGCGTCAACGGGACAATATATATATCTGTCCCCACGTGTAAGAGCCCGACTGACCTGTGACTGACCCCTGAACTCAAACTGATCCAACACCCTTGGAATGAACAAAAACGCCCGACTGTCAGACACCCAATTTCCGTAACGACCTCACCAACCGTCTTAGCTGAGCCGAGCGTTTCCCTGCAGCCAGGTTGCCAAATCTGTTGGAGGGTCTGAAACCAGAAAAGTGGAGGCTGTTATGGCAGCAGATTGTTAAGATGCTGTTTGTGTTATCTACGCATACATATGGGTATGTGGGTATATATGTATATATATTGTTGATATTATTGATTTTTAATGCATATCTGAAAATCAATACAAATTTTGATCACAAAAAAAAGATTGCACCACAGCATTGATAGTAGGTATAATTTTGGGAGCATGAATGTGGCCACAAATTAAAATTCATTGCAATCAACACTTAAGGTACTTAAGTATCCACAATTGAAAAGTGGTTCATGGTTTGGGGAGCATGAGTCTTTTAGATGTGGCCTTCTGTCCTATAAATTCATACATATCTGGTGGAGCAATTATATTTTCAACAGATGGCAATGCACAGGTCACCAAAAACATTATGGTTCATCCTCAGTGGGACGATGAATATGTACAATGAAAATGATGGATTTATAGAAATCCAGCCATGGGTCTTTGATTCAATATATATATTTTAAATAAAGGCCATCATTGCTTTCCAAAACCACCCATGGGTTAATCTGAGGAAAACTTAAATGAACGTTTTTTAAGTGTTTGAAGTTGGAATAAATGCACTTGTTGATGAACAAGACAAAAATTTAAAACTCGACCAATATGATGACCGTGACAATACAATTGATCAACCAAGAATGTAGCCCGATTTCCCAGTTCTTTTTAGTTGTAGGATTCAAAGCCCATGTTACATCTTTAAATCCAATGTTTCATGTTAATTATGCAAAAAAAACAAACGCTCGTAACAAACACACAGAAATGTGCTTGAGCTGTAATACTTTTTAATATTCAGCAGCGGCATCTGTGGTTAATAAACGAGCAGCGCACGTGGACACGCGTCCACTAATTGAGAGCCCGGGCTGGAGGCGCGCGGGCAGGGGGCGGGGCCTGGGACGATAAGGTAAAGTCGGTCCGCCGTCGGTGACTCCTCGCAGAGGAGGCAGCAGAGTCGGGATCTCTTCAGCCTCCGTGCTGACGGCCAGAACAACCAACGATTGGCTTTAAAATGAGCCGTTCTCTGTGTTTATGAAGTCTCCCCTTCGAAAGAGGTACGTTTATTTTATTCTTCCCCTCCGTCCCGCAGCTCACTTCATTTGCAGAGTTAACGTCACTTCTAATTTACTGAATGGATCGTTATGATTATTTTTTTTTTCTATTCATTCGTGATTATTTTTTAATCACCTGGAGTTGATATTTTGTTTTAATTGGCCACTGATGAGCACATTATGAACATTGTTTTTTCCCATCATCATTTGGTTAAGTTGATACATGCTGCTTGATGTTGAGTCACTGTTTATTCCCTGCACACCTCAGAGGTCCTCGCAGGTGAACTGTGAAGCAAACACGTTTCATCTTTATAATGAATAACAACACTTTCCCTTTGCAGCCTCATTTAGATGCATTGCCAGAACATCCCCCCTCAACAGGTAGGCCATCTCTAAAACACAGAGGATGTAAATAAAGATGATTTGTAATTATAAAACCAAGTGAGGGATGTTTAAAGCTGCAAAGGCTCATGGTTCGATGCGGGAAATGAAATAACCTCTGGGATAAAGCAGTCATTTGGGAATAAACTCCAACAAACAATCCCCTCAGAGGAATGGAAGTTTGGGGGGCAGGTGCTCAAAACAAAACAAAAGGGCACCCGCCGCCCAAATTATTCAACTTATATATTTATTTGTGTTAACAAACTAACTCAAGTTGAATAAATAAACGAATAACAGGCGACAGCAGACATAACCAGGCCATATTGTACTTCGTGAAAGCAATACGAGAGGCTGTACTTTATCGTCAATAATGTTACAGTCCAAGGGTGTTGTTAGCGGCAACCTTCAAACTTTCTATAAATAGTAAGTAAATAGCTGCCTTTCAGCAGAAATAGCCACCAAACGTTGTGTATCACATTTCAGTAGCCTAGAGAAAATAGTCCCGTCTGTTGCTAGGCAACAGAGAAACAGCATTGAAAACTTTAAGTTTGTTAGCCTAGCACCAGAAGTTGGTTGATAATTAGAGATCGACATTAATTTGTGCGTCTGAAAACATCTTTCGTCTCGCACTCATTCATGCATTCATTCACATTGCTCACGACGTCCACTTGAATTGCCCTCTTTAGCTAAGAGGTGCCATAAAACGACTGCGAAAGCTCGTATTGCCCGAAACCGGTTACTTGCAGGTCCTTTTTTTCGGCGATTGCCACGGAGCTAAAAGCTGATATGGCAACTAAGGTTACACCGCTGCAGTTTCCTGACCTTCTGCTTTTGGAGTCTCTCTTTTCTTGGCATTATGCTGCAAAATTTGTAAACGAGATAAACAATGTTGTGCATAATAATTAACAGTGATTTACCTAATCTTAATAAAGCTGACAACACACACACACATTTTTAAAGCACAAGCAGCATTACACTAATAACATACCACAATATACTTCACCAGACTGCCGTTTAGCTTAGACCTACCTTTCATTTCAATAATAGAATTCAATTAAACAAACTAGTGCATTTAAACTGCCTTTAAATTCTCTGCATGTCTGTATCTCTTTCCCTCTTTCTCCTCATTAAACATTACAAGCGTCAAGGAAAAGGCTTTGAAATCAGTTTTAGAGTTTTTTTGTTTGTTCATTTTTTAGGAAACGTCGGACCAGTTGGGACGTAATATTTTCAGCGGCGCTAATGATGTGGTTAATTTATTACCAAACAACGTCGGGGGAGGGGGGGGGGTGTCACACAAACACCATCATTACCTTTGTGTCCGATGCTGCAGCCGTCTGGCGCTCAGCGCTGCACGAGCGCCAAGCGAAGGAGGGAGGCTTGTGAGGCGAAATTCTCACAACTCAAATAAATGCCCCATCAGATATCAAAACACACGTGGGGGGGAATTGATGACAGAGAGAGTAATTTTTTTTATTTTAAACATTGAATGAATGAAGAAAAAAATGGGCTCCAGCAGAAGGGGCACTTTTCTCATCCAGGGCAAAAGGGCAGGTGCTTGACCATCAGGAGTGCATCTGTGCACGTGCCGGAAAGTACACATAATTGTCTTTAAAAGGGAGATGTGCAGCTACTGTTCAAGGTTAATAAGATGCATGATATTTAACCGGTTTCACATAGTGCATTCTTTCACAAATGGACTTCTAGTGTAGTCATTTGTCATGCACCGCTCCACAGATGTGACACAAACTGTTACAGAGTTGGTAAAACAATCCAATTAGTTAAGTGGGTCTAGTGGCCGGAGCTGACAGCTGAACACATTACCATGTTGAGGAGATCCATGTGCGTCCTTGAAAAGGATGTGGTCTCTGGGAACTCTCCATACTCATTCACCCTCTCCGTCATTTATCAACCAATCGACACATTTCTCAGGTAATCAATAAATGAATCGTCGAAAATAATTGTTTGTTTTCCGGGCTTGCGGCTCGTAGGCAGCAATAAATCAGACGTGCAGCAGGTTAGACAAAGGGCTGCGGCTGTAATCTTTTCTTCCACAACACATCACAATGTGTGTCGCTAAATATGACAAATGTAGAGGGATTTGTGAAACACAAGGCAGCACAGTTTATGTTCCAGAAAAACAAAATGCAGAAAGGATATGTTGTCAGGAGAATTGCTGATATTCTGCACATTACGCTTGTGATAGTGAGCCTGTGAGCTGCTGCTCTGAAAAGGATGTGGTCGGGCTACATTAAGAAATGTAATACGCTCGCTGATATTCTGTGTGGGTGAATTCAGGTTAAGGACCAGTCGAGTTGCCGCATTCTGGATGAGCTGCAGAGGTCGGATGGCGGTGGCGGGTACATTTTCGGGTGGTGTGCAGCCACCCACAGTCAAACAGGCAGGGATTTGACCTATGCTGCTAACTGTCTCGTATTGGGAAAAATACAGGCATCAGCATCAGCATAGTAGGAGAAGCCATGTGAGTGATTGACAAAGCCGAGACAGTTGTTGTACAGAGAGAAGAGAAGAAGGACTGAGCCTTGGAGGACACAATGGTGAGAGGACATGGTTCAGACACAGATCGTCTCCAAGTTAAGCGGTAAGCGCAGTTGTTGAGATGTGAGATTATGGAGAGAGCAGAGCCCGAGACACGCAGTTCACGGAGGGAGGAAATAAGGATCTGACGGTTCGCTGTGTAGAAATGCAGCAGAAAAGTCAATGTAGAATGTTTGTCTGGGAATGTAGTCACAGGGAGGATTAGAAAATGAGGAGCGTGTATCATTATCTTTTTTGTAAACTAGGGGTGAGGGGAAATGGGGGAGGATGAAGAAGTCTGAAGAAATGGGGAAGAGTTTTTGAGGGTTGGAAAATGACTATTCTGGTTTGGTAAAACAAGCTTTTAGCTGCGGGGGTAGAAAGTAATGTTTGTGGCAGAGCTGAGATGCCCTTCTTCAAGGAAAAAGCGTCATCTTTCCATGAACTAATGCAATAAAATGAGCAGTGCACCTGTGAATGTCTGATGTAAAGTGGAGAGTAAGGATGTCCGCGGATGGCTTTTAATCAAATATTCCCTGCAGGGAAATCCAAATGTGCACAGGCTCACTGCTGGGATGAGATGCTCTTTAGGGCGCAACTAGTGACGGCCATCTACTAATTTCTCTATTCTTTTCAATTACTTATTTTTCAAAGTGAGTAAATAAGCCAATCAGAAGTTGCTGAAATTGGCAAATATTTGGTATTTTGCTTGATAAATGACAATTAGACATCTTAACATTGGATGAGGACATCTTTCCTATATGCCAATGTATTGTATTTTTATTGTATTGTAGGGATTTTCTTCTGATTGTTTCACAGATGGAGAAATGCAAAGGTTCTACAACCGCCTGAATGATTCTTAAACATGAGTCAGCATTTTTGCACTTCCGGTTTCCTTTCCTCAATGCAATGGGTCCTTTTGATTTAATTTTTCATTAGTATGTCATTGATAAAGTATGTATTATATATATTATAGCAAGCTTTAGAGATTTCAACCTTTTTAAGCTTTTTAAAATAGGTGGTCGCTAACAACCCCTGAAATGAGACAACTGTATTAATTTCATTTCACTACCAGATCATAAAAGTGGTGTTTATAAGTGAACAACACTTTTCTAGTTTGTTGCAGAAGAAAACGTGTAAGCAACTATTCAAAACCCAATGGTGCTGCGGCATGCTGTTCCTCTTGTTATTTCCTGTTCTGTTCTCAAAACATGAGCAGCTCAATTTTGCATTTAGTCTGATAGTCTTACTTCCCTGGAGGAAGGAAATGATGAAACAAATAAGCCAAAAAGATGAGACAGTCTGAGAAGGTCATTCAACACATCCTACGCCACTTCATCGCTTTATCCCCGGTCCTCCGCTGCTCAGACATGCATGAATCAAACACAAAGCATAAAGACAATCAGAGGATTTTTTTTAACTTTAAGATCAAGCTGCTTCTTAAGCCTCAGGGCGAGCAACCACCACGGCATGTGCAAATTATATACAGGTCAGCCGGGCAGCTTTGGGTCTTCGGCGTGTCTCCTTTCCCACATGTCCCTTTTTTTTTACCAGAATAAAGTCTGTTTTAACTCTGCCTCGGGGGCGATGTAAATCTATTTCCCACCTGACACCTTTTTTTTCATTTACTGTAGACCTCAAACAACCGGTGGGCTGAGGAAATACACTTTTTAGATGCGGTTAATCTCTTTGGCGCAGGCACTTCATCACACACGAGAAATGTCATTACAAGTGAACAAAGCCGCTCCAAGTATCACCCCGTTCATCCGTCCCCTGCTGAAACAATCCAAGACAACCATTTGTCGCCGCTCTCAAATTCTCCCTCCGGCTACTGAAATCCCGCCATTGAGTGTTTCCTTTGGCGGATTTCGTTCGTTCGTAACGGCATGCGCAGCGAGCGAAAGCCTTTGATCGAGCGCGGCCACGTGACGAGATGCCGCTGCTCTACAAAGGCTTTATCTCCCGCTGCTTTTGCTTTCCTTTTTTTCCTTCCCTCGCTGCCGTTTATCTCACTCAGTGACATCCCAGATCGCCAACACGTACATCGAGAGTGCTGCTGAGTGGGACTATCAGCGGGCCGAAGCCTTTGTCTCGGTAATATAGTTCCCTCCCCAAGGTTCAATTCCTGGCCTGTCATCCGCGGTCTGAGTTAGGGGCAGCTTGCAGACACGAGACCTTCAAGGAACCCATCGCAGTCTGCGGCGGAATTATCTCTGCTTTGATTTATCTTTGTGTTCCCAGCATGGCCGGCGGGTTTTCTCATAATGCCACAGATGATTGTCGCTGTGCACCCATGGATCATTACTGCCGCTGTGGTGTCCTCGTCTTTCCCCTGTTGCTTTTGATTATGTCTATCCCATTGTTTTTATTTTCTATTACCCAGCACCCCTTCTGCTCGCAAGCTCCGTTGCCTCCTCCCAGTAAATAGATTTTCTGGCGAGAAAATTGATCTGCCTAGTTAAATAAATCTTAAACAAGACTCAGGTGTTAGTAATGGGACTTTTATGGTCTGAGTTGATTTTTTTTTTTTGATTAATAAGAAAATTGCAAATGCCATGTAGTTCATTCTAGCATAACCCCTGTTTACAGTAACGCAGCATTATGGGGGAGAATAATTTGTCAACTGAATCTAGACTGGACTGAATCTAGGAAAACCCTTTAATCATAAACTCTGGGCTGGGGGAGGGCTTTTTTTTATCAATTTGTCATCAATGCATTCTACTTTATGTGGAACGTTTGAAATAGTTCCCACGATGCTGAAAAAAAAACATTACGAGGCAGTGTGGAGGACACAGCGGCATCTAGAGGCTGTGTCCCCCCCCCCGCCCCCCCCGTTAGCCCCCCTCTTAACCTCGGCTAGCTTCAACGTGGAAACTCTCTGGAGCCAGTGTTCAGTTTGCTGGTTTTAGAGCTTCAAATGGTGCAACATGTCGGACCTATTTAGATATTCATTTTAAAGTAATGAGAACACAAATTCTGTTAGTTTAAGGCACTCATACACGAATGAAAACATAATTATGAATATTATAATAGATTTCTGCTAATCCAGCACTCTAAATCCCAGCTAATTAGCTGTTTCTGCCGCCTTTTAGTGTGAATATTTTTCATTTCTGTTAAACATACTCTGTATTAAATACGACAAAACTCTGGCACTGTTTCTCTTTCAGAATATGACATCATGCCAAGGGACCCCGCTAGAGACCTCGTGATAGATGGCGTGTTGGCAAGAGTCCCTGCATCTCCAAATTAACTGGCGGAGCAGTCTGTGCAGCATGAAAAGCTTTTACCTGCTGCATTAGAAGGAGCAGAACGGGGCAGCTGTAATTAAGATCAGATGAATGGTATCAATCTGCACAACTCAATGCCCCCAACAGATCACCATGGCTGCTGCTGAGAACACCAGTGTTTTCCCCGGGGCAGCCCGCTGTACCAACTGCAGCTCCTTCGCCCACCCGAGGGTGGATGTGGCCAAGGCGGTGGTTTTAGGGCTGGTGCTCGTGCTGTTTGTCGTGTTCGGGGTCCTTGGCAACATCCTGGTCATCCTGTCGGTGATGCTCCACCGGCACTGGCGCTCCGTGACGCATTACTTCATCGCCAACCTGGCTGCGGCGGACTTGCTGCTCAGTTCCGCCGTCCTGCCCTTCTCCGCCACCTCGGAGGCCCTGGGCCGATGGGTGTTCGGCCGCACCTTCTGCAGCGTCTGGGCCGCTCTGGACGTCCTGTGCTGCACCGCCTCCATCCTCAGCCTGTGTGTGATCTCCATAGACCGCTACCTGGCTGTCAGCTACCCTCTGCGCTACCCTGCCATGGCCACAGGGCGACGGGGCCTGGCGGCGGTGGCGGCTCTCTGGGGGCTCTCTGCAGCCATATCTGTCGGCCCCCTGTTTGGCTGGAGGGAGCCCGAGCCAGAAGACGAGTTGGTGTGCCGCATCACGGAGGAGCCCGGCTACGCTTTGTTCTCGGCACTGGGGTCCTTCTACATACCTCTGGCCATCATCCTGGCCATGTACTGCCGGGTGTACACTGTGGCGAAGAGAGAGACGACGACGCTCCGGAAGAGCAGCGAGGGGGGGGGCGTGGAGACGGAAGGGGTGATGCTGAGGATACACAGGGGGAACGCTGCTCAGACGGGGAAGCCCGAGGGGGGCGACGAGGGGGCTGCACCACATAAACGCAGCACCTTTTCGCTGCCAAGGCTGCTGAGGTTCTCAAGAGAGGAGAAGGCCGCCAAGACTCTTGGAATTGTTGTCGGGTGCTTTATTCTGTGCTGGCTCCCTTTTTTCCTGGTTTTACCCATCGGTAGGTACCTACCGAATCTACCTACCTAAACCTCTGCGTGAACACCGTTGTGCGCCTCTTATTTTGTTCTTATCGTACTCGTAGAAGAAGAAAATAGTCTGCTTATCTGAAAAAAAGACTTCCTGTCGAGTTGCACGTAGAACAGGGATCCTCAAAGATTCCTCCGGTTCCTCGTGAGAGGTGTGAGAGTGAAAACAGTCAACAGGTTCATCGCTACGAGCAACTCCTCTCACATTATGTTCACACTGCCATCCCATGCATTGTTACAAAGGTATCCATTAGAGCAACATTAATAAAATAGAAAACGGTAGCGTGGGAGACGTTTACTTTTGACACCTCAACAAAATGCACAAGTTTAAATATTAAATACATATCTATATTTATGTCAAACACACTAATGAGCTTTTCATAGACTCCATTATATTGATGGTAATATAATGAGGGCCAAGAAACGGGGTGTAACTTCAATGCAAATAACAAAAAAGGAACATTAAATGACGGATCTGCTGTATTATCTGACTCTAAAAAAAAAAAAAAAGGATTTGAATGAGTCAGAAATATATTGATGCCAAAATGAGAGCTTGGATGATTAATTTGAAACATTTTCTTTTAGGGTAAAGGTAAGACTGAATAGAAATGAACTAATTAAGGATTATTCCGCTGTTGAAGTCAAACATTACGGTAGATACGTATGAGCTACACTAGGAAGAAAAATTAGGATATATATTTCCTAAGGAATGGAGGACCTGGACTAGTTTTTATTTCACATATGCTGACATTATGCAACGTTATTGCATTATTAGTTGCCACGTTCTCTTGAGATCATTTTTCTGGACTCCATATTCAATTAACTACACCTACATTTTTATCGGACCCTGTGAAAGAAGGCGATAACAGCAATGATTTCGGAGATATACGAGAGGACAAGCTCAACCATTATGACGCCTAAACCAAAATCTTAATTGCCTCTGAAATACTGTAACACTCATCAAGTGACTGTGATATTCAGCAGTTACGTCGCTGGTCCGGTGGGGTTAATTCTGAAAGGTGTATTTTGTTATAGAAGCTGTGGTCTTATTGAAGGCACAATCTATTACACCGGACGGAGCGGACGCAGGTGAAACGCATCCTCTCTACAAATAATACGTTTTATCTTTTCCGCTCTTTTTTTTTTTTTTTTTGCCATAACCGGTGTTATTAAAAAGGACTCAATGTGTAAACAGTGTAAACAAAAGGGTCGCTCTACCAGAAAGCGGGAGCTGCTGTCTGTGCTGAATTGATTGCCAAGTCTTTTGAAACAGGGATTAAGACTACACAATAACCAAGTTATTTAATTTGACTTTAGTTTAACTTTCATGCTGAAGTCATTAGTCTTCATGAAACATTTTGCTGAAGGGATTTATTTAGGCAAAACACCGTTTTAAATAATAATGACATGTACAATGTCTTTACGTTAGTTGTATAACTAAGCTCAAATGTCTAACAACACTATGAGGCTGAACGCGTGCACAGTGGTGTTTTGAGCTCAAATATATTGGTAACGTCAACAATAAGACCACAAAGGTCTAACTCCTGCTGGGGCTACAGGGAAAGTCAACGGAGTCATTTGGATTCATCATCTAGGAACTGTGTATGCACGTACAAAGTTATTTTGCCAATCTATTCAGTAGATGTTTAGATATTCCAATGAAAAGGTGCTGCGATAGTGTTGATTTACATTTAATGGAAGATTTATTCTGGGGAAATCCGTTTTGATTTTAGTCAAATTTGAGTCAATGCTGAAGTCGTATTGTTGTCAGACAGTCTCATGACACTATTTTACATGGCTGTAAAACGAGAATTAAGAACACCTTGAACCATGTGTCAAGGCATCTAGACTAAGAACGTGTCACTGACTGACTGTAATTCTTTCATGTCATATATATTCACTGGTTATCAGAAGAATGAAATACCCAGCAAAGATACTTTTTATATATTACTAAGGAATCAGATGCAGTTACAGAGAAGTGTAAACTGTTATCATTATCCTTTTCATATGTCATTATGAATTTGTGGCTGCTGTTGTCGATACTTGCATCCCTTTGTCCATCCTCAGAGTATTTGTATTAGCTTCCCCGGCCATCTGTCTAACAGCTGACAAGTAATTTTACATAAAACACACGTGTTCACTTCATCGGGCCGCTAGAGAAAAGGTCAGGGGATCCCCAAAGTCTGGATTCAACCTTAAGGAATATCTGATTTAATGGCAATGGATCTAATATTTGTTCAGCTATTTCTGTCCAGACCAAAGTAGTGAGCAACCAGCTGACCAACATTGCCATCCATAGAGCACTGCCGCTATCATGGCCAAAAATACAAACGGAGCCTTGTTATAGCTCCGACTGCGGCTTAGCATTGTAGCTATTCTGATGCACGAGCCGTTGAGGCATGAATCATTGGCATAATGACGCTTGATGATACATTTTGCTCTATGAGCACAACAGCAGGCAGGACAGGCCGCCATCTCCTATTCCCCTTTGTGCCTTCTGCGTTTCTCAGAAGGGACTTCAAGAAATTCAATTATGAGCGACCAAAGAGAGCAAATAAAAGAGCGTAGAGGTAGAAGAGAGAGGATGGGCTTCGACTGTGAGAGGAAATGGAATGAACCAAACTATTGCTCCGGCATATGAAAGCTATTATAGATAGCAAGCACACGGCCTAATGGGCTGTGATGCCTCAGTCACCCTGTAGCCTCCCTAGGCAGCCAGTCATCGGAGAATAGTAACGCATTTCAATTGAGACGGACCTTCACGGCTCTGATAGTCTGAGATTCCATGAGAGAGGTGTTAGAAAAAAAACACGATGAATTACCCATTTTGTATTTCTCCTGAGTACTTCTGGTGGGAAGCATGTTTCGTGCACATGTTTGTGGCCACACGGAAAGCCGGTATCACTTGCACAGTATGCTCATAAAACGAGGGGAATGCTGCCCACCACGGGAGCATGTAAACATGTGGTTTGCTGTGAAACATGGCTTTTGTGGGAAATTGGTTTAGCAAATTGATTTATTCATTAAAATGATCCCAAAGGGTTTGAATGGAGGTGAGTTCATGGCTCTATTAAGTTCTTCCTCCACGAACCTTTCTTTGTGCACTTGCATTAATTGCACAGTGGCTCGAAACAAGAAGAGGGCCAAACACAACAGTTGCCACAGTGTTGGAAACACTAGTGTTGCATAGCTATGGCCATGTATAGCAGAACATATAGAAGAACTTTCTTACAATGCATATTTACAAAATGATTGATACTCAATCGTTTTTCCGATTTGTCCCAAAATGATCCCAAAAATTATTTTAGTTTGCATGCAAAACCCAGAAAATGCACAATTGGACCAAAATGCAGATGAAGCCTGTACGTTTATTAGACATGTGGAAACGGGTTCCAGGTTCAGGGTCTAGTTCGGGCTACAGAAGCTTGGAATAAAAAAAACATTACAACCTTGAAGAAATGGCTTGTAATAAATTAAACGTGGACTGGTACATGAACTGAGAGGCTGATGACGGAATTAGATGAGGAAGGGCCGGTAATATCCGAGCAGATGAGGAATGTGGGAACACGTGTGTAGATCAGCCCTTGTCAGGTAATGGGGAAAGGAGGGAAAGTCAGAGGGCATCTGGTGGGCAATGCTAATGAAGAGGTAATGAAGGGGCCTGCTGAATCGGGAATGAGGCTGGAGAGGAGGGGCAGACAGCTGAACCGAGACAAGTCATTGACTAAAAAATGTTGAGAAATGTTCAGCTTTTACGGCAGACTCCCTTTGCGCTTTCTTTTTCCAGCTGAGACTTAAATTATCGTGTCCATTGTCATTCGTATTTTGATTTGTCGCTGTCCGTGTCTGTTCTTTAGGATCAATCTTCCCGTCCTGCAAGCCTTCTGAAACCATCTTCAAGATCACCTTCTGGCTGGGATACCTCAACAGTTGTATCAACCCTATCATCTACCCATGCTTCAGCCGGGAGTTCAAGAAAGCCTTCCACCACGTGCTCCGCGGACGCTGCCTGAGAACTGGGCTGCCATCTGCCAAACCACAGGGACACATCGCCACCCACTCCTCCAATTTGGGTCCTACGCCCAATACGCGCGACGTCCCGGCCCAAAGCCACGTCACTCCATCCTGGTGGGGTTGCTGTGGGCCGCTGTCGACCTCCTCGTCATCGGCCTGTTGTCCGGATCGGGCTCAAGTCCCGAGAAGGAGTCTGCTGAAGGCGTGGTGTCTCTCGGCAAGTGGAACGCCGGTACCGCAGAACCCTTCCGGACACGAGTCGGCCAAGGTCTTACGCCTTTCTCTCGGCGTGACAGGAGAGGCTGTTTGATCCGCGTGATGATGCTACGGTGGAATATTTTAGCCTCCCGCCTTGTGTTTCATGGAACCTCTTTTGCATGCATATTGAAATCCCCCGGAGGCGTCGCGATGCATTCCGACTCGGTGACATTTGCTTCCAGAGCAGGGAGACGATAACTCTGTTGCCTACAGGCTTTATGGCGGTGTAAATGCCTGGAGTGTCAAAAGGTATGGCTTGGGGAAGTGAATGAGTAATATTTCGCCTTCGCTAAATAACCTGCTCTCGACAAAGAGGCCGGAGCAGTACGTGTCAAAGACTTTTAAATAGGAGCTACTTAGTGATCAACAGGAGGAAGGTTGTGAGGTGTGAGCCCACCGTCTTTGGACCAAAAGTGCATTGAATGCAAGAATGGACACACAGCTGGCAGGGATCTCTGTCTGCACTTGAAAGCAAATACAATTGATAACATAATCTCATTGAAATGGCATCTTAACAGAACTCCAGAGACCTGATATCTTTAAACATGAGTGGTATTCCTGCAGATTGTACAAAAGCCCTAAAGGGGCGAGACATTCTTAAATTGTATGCTAATCTTGCAAACACTGACAGCTCTGAGATGGTATTTTCTGTTTTACACGTGTGAACTCTCATAACTAAAATAAATGTGTAAAAAAAACAGTTGGGAATTATTGGAGGGGAGAGACATTCAGTGGTTATTTGGATGTGAGATAAATACCAGGGCAACCTCGTGGTACAGTGCAGTCCAACTTTTGTTGAGGCTGCATCAAAGATGCGTTAAATCCACTTTTAATGTTTGACATGGCAGCTTGTGGTGCTGCTGAATAAATGAACAGGTGTTGGATGGTTTTCTCTCTATTTTTGAGTACTGTTCTCGTCCCGGTGCATTTCTCCAGAGTTGTGTTTCACCCGTGCAAACACCGGAAAATACTTCATAATTTCCTGTTGTTTAAAAACTTCCTTATGAGTTATTCAGTGGTTCAACTTTAAACTGACTGACATTCACTGTAATGTGATAAAACAGATGCATACCCTCATTTTTTAGCTTTTCAGTAACCACTGTGTTGCATGACGAGCACAGCACAGCGCCGGTCTCTTGTCTTCTTTCATTGGACTGGAAATTAAGCTAACATACCCGCATGCCTTATAGGAGACTTTTACATTTTTCTAAATTATGCAGTGCACTTATGCTCAAACCTAAAGAGGACGACTCCAAAAAACACTGAAGCGTTGCAGAGTTGCTGGGGTTCATCACTACAAGCCACCCCTCCCACATTAGACATACAGTACTCATTGGAGTTATTGTCGATTCATAAAATGTTGATGAACAGATCTTTGTATTCTTTACCAATGTGCCGTTGGGATGGAGAGACGTCGCTGTGAGGTTGGTGACATACACTTCACAACATGAAAAGGTAGGTTCATTATATTTGAATGTCCCTGCTGCAATGGAGGCTGTACACACATATAGGACTATAACCTAAGTCTATGAGTCTGATGACATACGCCAACAGCCAGGAAGCTCTTTATCAACATTGAACACTTTAAGCAGTCAAACCTCTCTGAGTGCCCATCATTGCATGGTGCTTGTGTAGCATGTATAGCATGATGTGTTCATCAGGCAGAAAACAGGCCACCATGTCACACAAATTCATAAACAAGCGTTGTGTGGTCCGGTGTCGAGACGGCGTGAACGTTTCATGGACATGGATTTAATAGCTGCGTTGCGGTCGATCTGTTTCAAGTTCTTCTGAGCTATGAATCATCTGCCCCGTGTTGTTACACAGCTACTTTTCTCTGCTGTGCTGTGATTAAAGGCATTTCTTTCTTACCCTGCAGACATCATATCACAGATGAATACTGAGAATGCTCAGCTGGGAAATGCAAGAGGAGTCCTTGAAGACGGATGATTTTGTCGTTGTAGAATCACCTGAGGTAACGCAGGAAGAGGAGTAACCTTGGTTCTGCATTGCTGTACTTAAACATTATGTTACTGTGAACCGTTCAGGGGGACAAATGTCTGTTTGTAAACTTTGCATCACTGTAACTGTGTAATAAACATGCAGCTCTTGTTGTCTGGCATTATGCGGCCAGGCACTCGGTGTTTCACTGCATTAGGCGGCTAGTACGGCAGAAACCGATGCAGTGACTTTTTATTAGAGGCTGAATGGGAGGAATATTTTTCTCATATTTGAAGGTCAAAGCAAACTCCATTCATCCTCACCTTTTTTCCTGTAAAGCAAAAATTCACAACTTTGCACATCTGACGCTGCCTTCAAAGAGAAAAGAAAGCGTGGAAAAACTAATGATACATGAAGCGACGGCAGTAGTACAGGGAGACTAGAAGAAGGAGAATCATCAGGAACCATCAACGGTCTTATGAGAACACTGACAATGTGGGGACTCGTCTTATTTAGGGGGGCAAGTCAGGAAAATCTCAAAAGTCAATTGTTTTAGTAAGGAAAGACATAGTTTAAAGTTAGGGTGTGGTTGAATTTAGGGTAAGATTAAGCTACGGGTAAAATTTTAACAGAAGGTGGCTGTAATTCCAGGAAATGAACCCTCAAGGACTAAATCACTTCATGTAAAAAAAAACAATGTGCAATGCGCAAAAAGGGAGGAAATGTACCCAGAAGTCGTAAAAGCGTGTGTGTGTGTGTGTGTGTGTGTGTGTGTGAAGACCAGTCAAGCGGTGTGGTGCCGCCTCCCATCGGCTCAAATATATCATGAATGGAAATAAAGCATCGGGTTCCCATTAAGCGGCTCTCACTGTCAACACCTCATTCAAACCGTGTCGCAGGAGCTTGTCATATTTAGGCAAAGCGCGTTGTGATGAATGGGTGCAGGTTCCCATTACTGCAAAGACACACGTGTGCCCTTTAACCCCATGAGTCGACTTAGCAAAGGGCCGTTTCATCACAAATTGGTGATCGTGATCCATAATTACGTTTGGCAGCGAGCAAAGACAGTTGACAGATCTGTAGCTGCGTCAGGAAGCAAAAGGAGCGTCATTATTTCCAATGGGGAAATTATCGTTTGAGTTCTGCGTCAAACTGGATTCCTCTGAACTTCTTCTGACAGTCTGACAGTGAATATTCTATTGACACGTTTGGAAGACACAACCTCTGTATGTGGGAAAGCTACGTGAAAGAAAATAGACAAAATCCAACCACTGCTTGATGCAAAAATGGCCTCAGATGCAACATCCCTGTGTCTCTGCGCCGATGCGTTAGGTGTCGCGATTAAAGTTGACAAACTGTCCCCACCGCTTCGCTCTCGTTAATAATTCTCTGTTTCATTGAACGTTTAGGTGACACATCTGTGTCACAAGGGGGGGACTGATTCTTGCCTGCCGGAAAAGATAAGTGGTGTTTCATTAGTGAAGATTATCTCGCTGAACAAAATGTCTTAAGTATCATTAAAGAGTGTATGCCATCGGGTACTCAAGAGTCCAAAAATCCAATGAAAAATTCATCCCTGCACCTTTCTATTCGTGAGCATACACGGACAACACTGCAGCCCTCTGTCTTTTCATTTCCCACTAACGATGATGGTTTCATCTCAAAATGTTTGAACACAGATGTTGCTGAATAACGGCAGCAAGATGAAAAAGATCTGACAATAAAATAGTTGGCGTTAAGGTTAGCCCCCCTGATTATTATTTGATGTTAACAATGATTGGTTAGTTACCCATAATAAAAATTATCTTAAATAATCTATCTTAATCTTAAATAAAATGTCCCTCTTTTAGAGTGAAGTCAGCTGACCGGAGGTAAACAATGCAAAACGGTGCCATCATGATTTAATTAGCCGTTAACAGCTTACAGTCTTTGTTAAACCTTGCATGTGTGCGCCTGGACTTGAAATAATGGATTTGAAAAACAACAACCACTAATTATGTTTTCGACAGGACTTTAAGCCTCGGTGTGTGCGAGGCGGCTGATCACATGATAGATGTATTTACTGTAATACTCATGTCACTGAACATGTCTAAACAGCCTTCAGCTGCCATCTGAAACATTGGGTTCTCTTTCCTGCAAGCAAGTAGCTCTCAACTTCAAAACCACTTTTACATCTGAGCTATCCAAATTGTGACTGGATACTTTGTTAGTTGGCCTGATTTTGCGCTTGTCAAATTCTAAATAGCACAATTTCACAGTGAGTGAGCCAAGTGATTCCAGCGCTTTCATAAGGCGTTGGGTTTCTTCAGCAGCAAAAGCCTTTTCACAACCGTTTATGGGGATGTGATTCTGTGCACTGATTTGTGACCACAGTTCGACTCAGGGCAGCAAACTTATCGTAACAAAAAAAAAAAGGCATACTGAGCTTGAAAAGGCCAACACGCTTGTCTGGTCAGCGTTATCGTCTGGTCTGATCGGGACAGCTGAAATAAAAATAACAGGGCAAAGTCTTGTCTACACAGTTTGCATTGACCTTGGCACCGCAGGAAAGGGATTAGTGCTTAAATGCAGATATCTCCATCCCTCAGAAAAACCTGGAGGGAAAGAAAGAAATGTATTTAGGATTTATATGACCTCATGACAACTCAGACAAAATGATGAGGAGGGCCCAGAAAGAATGCCGGTTAAGGACGTCGTGGGAGGCGCATTGAATTGATGGAACTTTCCCCGTGGTGCATTATCAGGGCATTTAAAAGCTTCACCTTTAAATTTATATGTACTAATTATAATCAGATCAAATCCCTAATACATTTTATGCGCACTATAAAGCCTTCGTTGCACTGTGCCCCAAAGTCAAAGGGCAGTAATTGACTTCACAGTTTGTTTGTATGTTCACTTTTAAATGAGCGTCGTGGATGTAACCCTTACTGTTGCACTTTTATGTCTGTGGAAACGCCAGCAGTGCGTTTAGCCACAGTCTGCCTCTGTCATTTATAATATATTCAATCATTTCATGGATGAGAAATTAGGCTGGATTCTCTCTCGTTACAGGTGGACCGGAGTTTGGCCTTTAAGCATTTTCCCCCCTAAGATTCAAAGAAAACAAACCTTGCAGAAGTAGAAGACATATTCTTCATGTGAATTTCAAACATTCTGTATATATTTTGTCATCTTTTCCCACTTTATCCCCGTGCGCGCCTCTTACGTAGGCACATGAAAGCGCCTCTGATGTCAAGAATGCTTTAATGTAGGAAGCGGTGTCTATTCATTACAGTGCAGGTTTTCACGTCAGTGCTCTCGGCCCAAGCTAGTTACCTTTTGACCGTTCAACAAGTTTCTGTCTGATTTGGAATCAACCCAACGTGAATATTATTGCAGCTAATGAACATGCTTTTTATTCACTCAGTCAATTCATTAACAGGAGCACCACAAGATTGGCCCATGTCACCATCTTACCACTGATACAAGTGTTCCTTCATTAGCTGAGGACAAAGGAAAGGGAGAGCGGCGAGGGAACGAGATGACAGTACTGCCACCTTGTGGAGAAACACGAAACGCATCCTCCTGGTCGAGATCTGCTGAGCACAGTACGTTGTGACATTGTGCTGCGTGTTCGCACCCTGCCGTGCTTGTTTTTTGAGGCATATTTGTGACCTGGTTAACCCATCGGGCAGGAGACGATCCCAGCATGCACTGGGCATGAGGGCGGGGCCGATCCTGGTGTGTCTCAGGGCTCAAACATTCTCACCTAGACGTGATCTGGCCCTTCCAGGTGACCTAAAGAGGTGGAACACTGGGAGGACACAGCAGCTGCACACAGATCATCGGCGCTGTAGTGAAGCTCGGTTCACTTCTACATACAAATAAAAACGTCTCTCCGTGAGCTGCTAAACAGAGCAGATTCCCTCTTAAATAGAGCTGTGGGGGGTCAGTGGGGGGCCTTCAGGGGCAGCTAAGCCTTCTCTGCTCGCTTATTAGAAACACACTTCTTGTATCATAAGGATATTTCCCATTGGCTCCTTTTCGCATTGCTTTTCCTCTGTTGCGCTGCTTTCAGTGCAGCTGGTATTAAAGAGAGCTTTTATCCAACCAGATTCTCTGAATAGATATTTATTTAGTTACAGACAAAGTTCACTAAAGTGAACGTCTGCAGTAGCATGTTCGTTTGTCTATTGTGTTGTTTAATTATACATAATTAATTACATTAATTATACAATTATATCGTTCCCTCTGATGTGATAAATATTTTGAGTGTGCCGTGTTTCAATGCCACAGTTTTGATGGATTGTTTTGTCATGTTTTGTTCTAAATAAACTTGACTGGTCCTCATGAGTGTGCTCACGTCATTGAGTTAATCACACAGCATCCTGTGAAGCGCATATTCATGTACCTGCAGTTAGTGTATCTGTAGTTGTTGAGCCTAATGTAGACATATTAACATATGTAACATATTATTCCCCATTAAATTAGTTTCATTTCATTTTATTGAATTACACAAAAGCTATTTTAAGCTGTAACTGTGGCGTCATAATGAGGTTATTAGGTTTTTCGACTGTAGTAAGACGGCACAGAAGGCCCAGGTGGAACACAGCATTGTACATCATAAACATGGTTTATTGATTCCAGTGAAAATCAGCTCCTGTTTCGTCTCCCTCCTTTTGGTTTCTGTGGTTGCCATGGTCACACAACGAGCCACAGATGCTTCTGTGTCAGTGTCGCTGCGTTTTACAACCACCTCCTATCGTGATCGTTTGATATCAGAACCGGTAAACTAAAATACTGCATGACAGCTGAACGGATTCGCCTATTGCTCTAATAATTGCAGCGCGCCTTGAATCCAGTATGAAAAGTTTGTGTACATTCAGTTTGTTTAAATGAAGAGGGGAAAGGTGGAGAATGAGAGGGCTTTTTTCCAAGCGTGTGCTTCTTCTAAAAGGCTTGGTGACCTCTTCAAGTAAATATAAGGTGCCGTAGAATAATCAGTAACTTGTGACTATAACCTCCGTGGGCCAAGAAAAGTGAATCCTAGAAGTCACAAACTAGGAAGTTTATTTTAGTTTTCTCTGTGTGCTCGTTTTCTTCAGTGTCCACATTTCACGACTTCCCCATAAAATGTCCGAAACAAAAGAAACAGAGATTGAATCCCTTTTTTCTCATTTTTTTTTAATTCTCTGAAGTCCTTGCTCTTTTTTTTTTTGACATCACCATTCACGGGACTGGATCATTTTCCATTCTAAGCAAGCATCCAAGAAACCCTACAGCCATCAAGACATGTACCATCACACAGTTTGCACTTTCACAGGGGGGGGGGGGCTTACAAGAGCGGGAGAGCGGGGGTTTGAGGGGCGACTGAAGGAAAGCTCGTCTCAGCCTGCAGCACATTGCGTATACATACATTTCACTCAGTTATCATTAGCATAATATGGCATAGAAAAAGGCCCTACTTAAAGTAGTATAACTGTGTGTGTGTGTGTGTGTGTGTGTGTGTTGAGGAGGCACGGGACACACGACGGGGATGCCAGCTTTGACATCTGGTTTCTAATGTCAATTCTTTCAGCCACCGGTTCTGCATCACAGCAACGGCTGTTTGTTGTGTGAACCCGGGGATTCAGGAAGCCGCGTAACCCGGCGCAGGACACGGAGAAAACGCTGCACAGCTGTCACGGAATAATTACAAAAACGTGTGTCAGGGTGCAGAGCTGTTCTTAAAGCACCAGGTCAGGAAAAGGAGTTGCTATGGGCAACCTCCGATCTGACAAGCGTTGCCAAGACAAAACAAAAAAAAGCAGCTCCCCCCCACCGTGCGTGAGAGCGGAGGGATCGGTCGCCTCGGCAACAGCCAGAAACAAGGAAGGAGCCAGAGAGGGAGGGAGGGAGGGAGGGAAGGAAGGGAGGGAAGGAATGACAGAGACAAGCTAAAGGGACGAAGTGACGCGTGCTGTTAGCCTCACAAGAGCTGCGCTTGTGCTGCCAAATTCTATGAGTGAGGACTTCGCCTCCCATCGCCTACATACTCTCCCACCGAAATATTGTAGTGGGAGGGACTATGATGTGTGCACAGTGTCTATAAGGAGTGTTTTGACTTTAAGTCTTGTGTGAATCAGGATGATAAAAAAAGGGAAAAGAGGTAACAGTAGTCAGACAGACGGGGTCTAACTCCCTACTTCCTGACTCACAGAAACCTTGTGTGATGCACAAGTTGCCGTGGAGATTCCAATCATGTCTGATTGGGTGGCTTCAGACATGGGCTTAATTTCCCCCCGGCTTCGGACCCCTAAAAAGAAAAACACACACAAATACCATCGCTAACGCTGACAGACCTCAACCTTTTATAGAGCGTCCAGTTAGATCAGAGAGGAGGAAGCTTCGAAAAACAAGGTTGAATGCGCAAACACAGCGTTTATGTAGTTTGTGTGTGTGTGTGTATATATAAATATGTGTTGCTATGGCGACTAGCAGGAGAGTAGTTCAGTAGATGGTCTTCATCCGAGAAGTCTAAAGTGTGCCAAAGCGGTCTAAAGCAGAGCGAAGTCTTGATCGGCGTGTATGGAACGGGTCCCTACGTCCACGCTAGGCCTGCTGCGCTGTGTTGAGTCACTGGGGGGGGGGGCCCAGAGAGAGGTGGTGACTGGTTTCTGAGGCCTCGTTGGCACCGGATAGCAGTCGCTTGGCTTAATAAAAACTAGATCATGCAGAAAAAAAAATTATGTACAGCCAGGAAGCAAAGTCACATCCACATTCTGTGACCAAGTGGCGTTTGCTGCCGCCGCCGTCCCGCCCCTCACACACTAGTCAGGAGTACATCAGCTCGTGTCTACTTTCAAGCGTAAATCAATAGTGCGCGGCCCTCGGGCACCTAGTTACAGAATGACACTAAAAAGCAGTTTGACGACAAAGTTAAAAACCCTAAAACATTAGAATATTTCATTTTTCCGTCGTTACGGGGACTCCGCCGACAGGACGGGCCCCACGAAAGCGTGAAATCTGGCACCTTTGAATCGGTTTCACCCTCGTTATGTTGCATCTCTCTCATTTTCTCATTATCTTACATCCCTCTCTAACCTCAATAAGTATAACAAAACAGGAAATAAAAACTATCGGTACAACTTCTGTGGGTTCAGGCACATAAAGAGTAGAAAAGAAAGAGAGGGGTTTTGGTGAACAGTCCCATTTGAAGGAGGGGAAACATTCGTTATGTAAATGCACTGGATGGTGATGGACGGGGATCAGGTGAGAGACGGAGGCTTTGCGAGAGGCTTTCAACCAAAGCCTCTCGCAAAGTTCTCTCACAAGGAGGCGAAGAGGAGTTGAGCTGCAAGCTACGAGCGATTACAACTTTCTTTCCTCTCAATCTTTCCCTTCCTTTCTCCCACTTCTCAAACTCCAATAAGGACCTGCCGAAGCTCCTCCATCTGAAAAGAATAACCTCTCATTGATGGTGTGACGGATGGGGATGTAGTGGAAAGTGAAGTTAGGTTTAATGTGTAAGTATAAGTCAACAGCTTGTCGGCTGAATGAACTGTGAGACTGTTTCCAAACCAAGCTACCGTTTGGTTTTGTACCGACGCCCCATTAGGACTCCTCTCCCAAATGAAAAGGGAAGGGTGGAAATGAAAACGTCCCTCTTCTCTTAGCTGGGTTAATTCAGTTTAGTCTCTCGACGGCCTCCTATTAAAGCAACATTTAAACAAACGTCAACAGGACACGTGGGAGGGAGGAAGTACGGCGTAAAAAAAAAATGAATGAAATAATGCATTCAAAAGTGCTGAAATGAGTGTTTTCTTTTTCTTTTTTTTTCTTCTTTTCCTTGTTGTCGTCTTAGTTTCTAACGGTGTCCTCTGGGATGGGGGGGTGAGGGGGGTTTGGGGATGAGGAGCGTGGGCCCGCCGGGAGGCGGTGAGAGATCGAGGCTGACGGATGGCGCGGCCAGGTGCTACGGAGGGGCGCGGCTCCCTCCCCCTCCCCGCCCCCCTCCCCGCCGCCCAGCGAATATTGCCCCCTGGTTTGCCGGGACCCCTCAGCTCCTGTCGGCCGCCCGACCTCTGTCCGATCTCTTTCGTTCTCCTCCCCAGCGGCCCGAGGGGGGCGGACCTCTAACCCAGGCTGGTGATGTTGGCCCTGCCGCCCGGCGGCGCCACGATGCGCTGGGTGTTCCGGCGGGGGATGTTGTCGTCGGTCTGAGCGCCTGTGACAACCAGAATAAAACCACGATGAACTCAACTTCATCACCATTAAGCTCTTGGATGTATTCGCTGGACGCTGCAGAGGAACTTGAGAGGCCAAAGCATCACGCGATGTTCCTCCCGCCCGGTTCTACTGCACTCACCGGATAGGCTGAAACCAGACTGGTGCAGGTTACGGACCGGCTGGTTGGGCTGCTTGGCGGGGGAGGTCTTGGCGGAGGAGGAAGGAGTCATGGTCTTGGGGGTGACGGACACCTCGCAGACCGGGCCGTCGTACAGCCCCCTGGGCACGCCCCTCAGCTCAGCCAGCTGCGTTTTTCGGGAAAAGGAGGAAACATACGTTGGTGTCAGCTGGAAGGAACAAGAAACACTCCCACCTCCAAGGTGGCGGGACAGCAGGACGCACCCTGCTGCGAGCCTTTATCCTCTTGTAGACGTAGTCGGGGAAGGGTTTGCGGGCCACGAAGCGTCCCGAGCCCTCGGTGGCGTGGAGGTTCCCTTCCTCCAAGACGATCTTGCCCTGGCTGATGACCACCAGAGGACCGCCGCGCACCTCCGTGCCCTCAAAGATGTTGTACTCCACAGTCTGCGGAGGGGAAATGAAGAGGGGAGGTTCAGTATGAATGTACATGCGGATGCAGGTAAATAAATCCACATTTTAAAAACACGGCAAAAGCGTTTTCGGATTGAGAGTAGACATGTTAATGTTTAACTGAGGCTTGCTCTTAAATAGGGCAGCACAATTATTATCATGTTTTATTCATTGTCTGTTGTCTACAATCATATTACGATTTCATGTAACACAAATATGTCTTCTAGGTTGATAAACATCCTTATAATACTAAACTTATCCAACTACGAACGTGTTTTTTTTTTCTTCAAATTGACCCGTTTTGAGGCAAAGCTGCTTTAATCCTCCTACTAGACATTAAATCATCACAGAAATAAACCATGATTAATATTCTGCAGCTGCTGGGATTCATGGATTTTTGTCTTTCTCTGGAGACTTGCCAGGGCGGTTTGCGTTTGCACGTGATGCCGCCGCGTAAAATCAGCCAAATGTTTATGAATTTAGGTCCAATCGTGTGAGGAACTAAGCGGAGTTAATTCGCACACAGAGTTGAACGTGTCCCCTCCGGCTAAAACGTCTAAAAGCAAACCGAATGTGGTACACAGACCTCGGTTCAGCCCAAGTGTGTGTGTGTGTGTGTGTGTGTGTGTGTGTGTGTGTGTGTGTGTGTGTGTGTGTGTATGTCGACATGCTTATTGAGAACTCAGCTCCAAAAAAGAAAAGGGGCGCTGAAATCGGTGTCGAGGGTCAGCGGCCGAGACTCGAAATCGACAGCACGAGGTTACCGGACTATTTGGTACGTGCCACCATATTATAAACAGGCGCGCCACACACACACACACACGGCAGAGTGACACAAAGGGGAGCACGCTCTAGAGAGACGCTTCTGTCTCGAAAGTTGAGATCCGTCGATATCTGAGTGGACACACAGAGACAGACACAAAGAGAGCCGCCTGCGTTACAATCAGAAACGATGTGCGAAGCTCTGTGGCGGATTTTAGGGATGACATCACTCCCTTGACGCTGTGTGAGGCCCACGCCTGTTACTAATAAACCGCTCTGACTGCTCCATTACTCTAACGGGATTGTATCATTAATCATTATCACATAGTAGCTTACTTTTTGTACTTTTGTACGAGATGATTTCATGTTGAATCTTTACCCCACTTAGTGCTTTAAAGAAATAATTGCAAAGTATACAAAGAGTATGTGGAAACCTTGTTGTGTGTGGCTGTTTTGGGCCCTTAAAATTTCAATGGAGGGAAATCTTAAGCCGCAGCATACAATGATATTTTATATATATAATACTGTATATATATTTCAAACAGCTAGATTCCAGAAGGATCCATTTCCTGTTTGAATGTAAACAAACCCCTCAAGCTGAACGCCAGCTCTTTCTTTTTGTGCATTTTGTCAGCCAGCATATTTCTCATCTCTTTAAAAGACAGACATTTCTTTTCCAAAAACCCCTTGAGGATTCTTATTTTTGAAAACAGTTATAGACACAACATTTGTGACCATATTTCCACTGTGTAGACTATTCCGCAGTATTTTTCTTATTTATATTCTGTTCTGTGACTCGGAGCTAAGGTATTATTTTCATTCCAGCTGCTCACTCATAGTTTGGAGATTTGACTGTTTGCATTTAAAACAACCGCAAAATTAGCGGCCTTAAAGGGGATGACAATGTGATGGACATCGATCGCTCAGAAACTCCCCACACGGAGGCTTTAACGTTTGCCTCCCTCTCCCGTCATCCGCTACCAAGTAACAGGTGGAGCTGGTACCGAGTGGTGGGTCTTGGCAGAGATGATCTTGGTGACGTCCGGGTCCCACAGCACCAGGTCGGCGTCTGAGCCCACGGCGATGCGACCCTTGCGCGGGTACAGGTTGAAGATCTTGGCGGCGTTGGTGCTGGTCACCCCCACAAACTGGTTTTCGTCCATCTTACCAGTCACCTGAAGCGGAGCGGAGCCGACAGTAACAAGGGTCACTCTCCGGCTCTAATCGGGTGTTGTCTCATAATCATCCTCTGTGTAGACTACAGTGCCTGCTTACGGATGTGCATTTTTTTATTTTTATTGTATGTGTATACATAGTTAAACACTGAGTTCAGCCTGCTAATTTGAAGAGAAACATCCATCTGGTTACTTCAACCATAAAATCAATTCATTTGAAAGAAAATGTGATACTTCCTGAGATCTATGGCTACAACTTCTAACCCGATACATAGAATGTGATGTCTTCATTCACATATCCAGCCCTAGCTCAGAAATGTACATACCACACACTTGTCCCAGATGATGGACATCCTCTCCTCGGTACCATTGACGCCTTCGGGGATCAGGCTGAAGTCGTCTTTGCCCACGGCGCGCTGCGCCGTGTTGAAGGGACAGTGTGCGCTTCCCGTCACCTGCAGGTCGCCGCTGTGCAAAAGGTGTCGAAAGGAGGAGGGAAAGGACGGAATTTACATGCAGGTTGGTTGGTTGGTTGGAGGCGGCTGCGGTCCATAAAGACATATCTCACTGCGTGTCCAGCTGGAGTCGTCCCTCTTACCAGGAGAGCAGGGAGTTGAGATAGTCTGGTGTGGTTGGGTCGGGGCTAAGGGGGGGGGAGGTGACGTAGGCCGCTGCCTTGGCCCAGTTCTTGCTCCAATAGTGAGAGCCGTCTGTTCCCAGGCTGGCGGTGATCGGCTCCCCGTAGACCACAGTGCCTGAAAAGCCCGATCCCAGTTAAACCAGAGTCTGCTCTACTGTCTCCGTTTTCTATCCAATCAACTGCATGAACACGAGATTTGAAGCTGAAGTTAATTCAAGGAAGTGGTGGTTTTCTAGTCCAAAACCTAAAAGGAACTGTGGAAACCAAAAGCATTGACGCCGGTGGACATTGAGTTGGACTGTGTTTCGTTCAAACACTCATTCCTGCGTTTTTTGGACATTAAGGAGATGGAGTGTGTGTTATACGGATAGTCGATGTCAAATCTCTAGTTTAGTATATTTAGAGTAGGTATCAGCGTCTCACCCTTCTTCCTGGCCTGGGCGATGACATCAGCAGCACTCTTGCTCATCACCTTTGTGACATAGAGGGGGCAGTTGGTCTGATTGGCCACGGTCACGGAGCGATTCACAGCCTCCGCCTCCACCTGCAGGAGAGGAGGGGCAACAGAATGCGTTTAGTTTTACCCTCCACAAGCTCATTCTTTTCCCTTTGCAGCCACAGCAGCAGAGCGCCTCAGAGAACTGTGGCAATCTATTCAGTGAGGCGAGACTACGATAAATATACCTGACCAGGTGAACAGTGGACTCTTCATCTTCACTTCTCTAGATCATATCAGCTCACTTTTCGCTTCCTTCCTGAGGCTTTTAATAGTCATTCTATAAATCAACAGAACAATTTGTACAATCTAAATTTGAATCATCTAGCAGGAACAGCGTTGTTTTTTCAGTGACGAAGAACAGTGACGACAATGATTTATGGAGAGGATGAGCTCCTTTTTGTAACACCTGTGGGGTCACTGCTTAAAACTTGTGAAGGGGAATCTGAGAAAAACTGTCAAGCAACCCACTGCGAACCACAGCGGAGGTCAGAAAGGTCAAATCCGCTTCAAACACGAGTCGGAGATGGACTCCCTTCCTGAAGCCACGCCGGCTTTTTCCTTTAAAGACCTAGCGAGTCAGTCAGGGTCCATCCAGTTGGTCTTACCTCCTCAGGCCGGCTCAACACGTGTCCCTCAGGCCCAGTGATCCCCTGCTCCAGGATCCTCTGTTGTTCCTACACACACACACACACACTCTTTAATTCAACATCAGCAGATCCGGGCTCTCATGCTGGAGAGGAGCGGCGTACCTCGGCGACTATGTCTCCATTCTCAGCGTGCACCTGGGCGATGGCTCCCAGGTCGCGGATCACACTGAACACCTCGTACACCTGCGACACAGAATGAGACGCAGGTGTGACCTCAGGTGCACGACGGCAATCAACTCCTCGCGGTCTGTCCACTAACACACACACACACACACCGTGATGGATGAACGGGCCATTTATTATTAGTTCATTTGTTCCCACAGCCCAACATGAGGTCCATTAAGGTGGAGCAATGATATAACCATTTATTTCCACATGGTACACGATGCAAGTCACAAGCACGTGGAGTGTCACTGCTACATGGCAGAGGGCAGAGTTCTTCCTGAAGTGGGCTTTATTTGACTGATCTGAGATGTCTGGCTGGATGGGAGAATCACCCACAACCCTCTCAGTACAGGCGGCGTAGACGATGACTGACTGGCTGTTCTCTGCCAAAAAGAACAACCTTAATTGGCGGAATGACTAAAACATTGTTTTACCGTGATTATACGTCTGGCTGACTGTACCAGTAAACAAGTTGTGACTTAGTTAGTTGGTTTGTTAGTTGTTGTGGTTTTATTGTGTCCTGTCGCGTCTCATGTTTCATGAAACACTGATGGCCAGCCGACTGTAATCAGATTGAAACTTTGGTATTAAAGGATAACTTTAATTCAGTGTAGGAGAGGCTGCATCGCAACAAGGCCGTGTCAATGACGTACTCGCCCCATGTTTCATACTAATATAAAATGTTATTTTGGATTCTCGTTTGACCTTTGAGTCTTCAGTTGAAAAAAACGAACAGAGAGACAGTGAGAAGAGAGGAAACCTCACCTGAGCGTCCGATAGCTGGAAAACATCCTTATAAGCCAGGTAGACCAGGAAAGAGTTGACACCTAAAAGAAAGAGCGGATGTCAGCGTGAAAGCCACAGGGGGGAAACAGAGGACGGATAGAGAAAGACATCATAGAGCGCAACAATCATGAGTGGGGAATAACAGAGTCATCTGATCAGAGAAATGCAACCAAGAGATTGATTAAAGTATAACGTTTCTACAAAAAGAGGCAGTGTAATATTTGGGTAATTGTGCAATAGAGTTGTACAATTAAACCAAAATAAATCCACCGTCACGCTTTTGGTTTCCCACAATTAAATAAACGCGATTAAACTGCAACATTGACGTCTATGATGTGACGCGTAGCAAGTCAAGCGCTTCGGCCACCAGGGGGCGATCCAGGTGGTTCGGCATCAAGTTGCATCCTGGGAAAAACACGAATGACTCTTGTGGCTGCAGGAAGTTATTACATTTATATACATATTATTAATACGTGTGTGTATACACGTCTACACACATAAGGTGAAGAACCTTATTTAATTCCATAACAACATCCATCCACAATTTGTTCATTTGTAGGAAACGTGTCACAGAGCACGGCTCTGTACATTTAGAGGAATAGTTGGTAATCTTCTTCAAAAACCTTTTCAATATGTCTTTTGAGATTCTCATTAGATACTTCAATAAATTAATTAAATGCTCAATACGAAAAAAAAATCAAATCTGTGGCTGCAACAGGCCTGTGACAAGCTCATTAGTAATAAGCACCAACAATAGTCTTTTTTGGGATGATTTTGGAGTCTCACTGTCTTGCTGGATTTGACAACTTTTGTAGCCAGCGCTGCCACACACTTGGATGGATACATCCAGCGTCATCGCACGTTATTTTCTCAAGATTGCCAACCCTGCCTTTAAATGTGCATTACAAATATTTTGCTCGGGTCCTATTAGGGTTTTGACAATAACCGTGCAGCCATATTGGCTGGGTTGGGTGAACCACGCAGCCGGTAGAAGGGCTCATAGATTTCTTCCTCTTTTGCTGATGGGAAATTATGTTTTAGAACAGAAATGTGCTTTTATTGAAATAATATTTTTTCTCAAAAAAACAGCTATTGGATAATGAGACAGTGTTTTTCTGTATGGAATGCGTTGGGCGCGACCCGTACCGTGATCCTTCACCAGCGCCTCCATGTCCTCCTGGATGCCTTTGTGCCACTCTGTGATGTCGACGTGCAGCGAGTAGTCACAGCAGGACTTGCTGTCGGCCCACTCGCGCCACTGCTCGAAGGCCGAGATGAGGCTCACGCCGGGCTCAGGAACCACGTGGTCGACTGGGAACACACAAACAGGGGACACGCGGGCTCAGACCCCGTTGTGACGTCATCGTTGTGCCATCCATGGAGGCTGCGTCCAGAACCAACAGTAGGTCACAGCAGGCGGACAAACGCGCTCCAGGTTTGGTCTCATGTGACCGTGTTATCGATCTTTGAGGATTACCAAACCGTTGTGCGCTGCATTTGCTCAAGGTCTCTACCACACAGAGCCAAACTTTTGTTTTTTTAGCTTTCAGACCCGAACGAGAGAAAGTCCACTGATCTGTGGTTCTTCTGTGTGGAATGTTAGAATAATAAGGCAGCACATTGGGGATGCAGAATAACCATTTTCATCCAACTAATCAATGTCTCTCTCACGAATGATTTAACATTTAGTCTGTGAAACAACAAATGAGTTAAATGGCACATGGTGATGTCATTAAATGGCTGCAGACTGCGACCTAAAAACCAACATATGCTATTTATTGTATCATTTTCTATTGATATAATCATAAGAATTAACAATACATGTATACATCACTTTTCTAAAAGAAAGGCATAAATCTCAATCCGATGCAAAACAACGCGGCGGAGGCTCATCTGTTGACTGTGACGTGACACCAGCATTCCAGTCAGAGGACATCGGCTCCCACGTGCCGGACCCTGCAGCAGTCAGCAGTCAGCGCCCCCCACACTCCCCCACGAAGTGACAACAACCCCCGGGAGTGTTTGTTTTACTGCGGGGGGGGAGGAGTTCAACTGCTGAGTCAGCAGAGGCTCTAATTGTGTTATCTTTTTAATAACTAAATAAGGTAATACTCCTTTACGTTTTTTGGGGGATATTTAGAGTCTTGAGTTTTGAATAACACAAATATGAAACTAAAACTAGTTGGGGACTGAATACAGCTACTATCTTCTTCGGTTTAGGTTTAAATTTAACAATTTTACAAAATAGGGAAAGATAAAACTCAAAGAATCTGTATTTTACCAGAAGCTGGATACAAAATGCAACAGTACCTTCAGAACTGAACCCAGCAGGCTAAAATAGCTCATGGGCCTAACAACGAAAGTGATGAGGAATATTGAAAAAAAAAGAAGAAAAGGGAATATGCTTATAGATGCCAGGTTTGTACTAAGACTGATAATACCATATTTGGAAAACTCTTGAAAAATGTCAGACAATTATGCAAATGAGAATTTAAAAAAGAGCAAACCAAAAAAATGAAGAAAAGCATCCATGGCGGTACGTTAAAAAAACAACGAGAATCAAGATGTGCTCCGAAGGGAAATGCTGTTTTGAGCATGAACTGAGTGCTCCGAGTCCTCAGAGAAGATGGACACCTCTACATGTTGGTTCCCACTGGCACGTGTTTGGTTAAAGCCAAAACGGGGAAGCAAGAGGCGCTGCAGTGGAGAGGCTTTGACTCCCTTGCAGAAAGCAGCTGCTAGGTCCCAGATCTTCCCTCATCTGGCTGACTCACTGATCATGGTGGTGCCTCCGCCCAGCGCAGCCTTGGTGCCCTGGTAGAAGTCGTCGGCAGACACCATGCCTCGATCGGGCATCTGGAAACGCGTGTGCACGTCGATGCCGCCCGGCATCAACATGCGGCCGCCGGCGTCGATGGTTTTCACCCCGCCGGGCACGATGAGATTCTCCCCGATTTGTCTGTCGACAAGACAGTAGGACATCAATAAAACGGTGAAATGAACGCCACGAAAACCCTAAACATTGTCCCCATGCACATGAATGGACATGATGTAACACACATCCTGTCGTGTATGTATGTTTTGTCACAAGGGTAATGAGAAGAGAGACACGCCGGACGCGCTTCCCTGTCGGCAGACTCACTTGATGACTCCATCCTCCATGTAGATGTCAGCGCAGAAGGACTGGTCATCGTTCACGATCTTCCCTCCTTTGATGAGGAGACGGTCACTCTGGAAAATCATAGTTAAACGCGTTCAGTCGCTACACATTTGATTACGTGTGAAGGCTACTTTAAATACTTGGGCGGGGTGGTGGGGGGGTGGGGGAGGCTGAGGCCGAATGTACCGGACACTTCGAACATGAACACAGGAAGGCCGTTGGTTGTGTTGTTCTAAGCGCCTATTAAAATCCCTTTTGGCTCCATCTCATGCATATATATATATATATATATATATATATATATATATATGCCAAACCTGCTGAAATCACACAGTTACACAGCAGGCTTCGCTCGGCCTTATTTTAGGATGCATTCCGATAAGGAACACATGGGTGTGTAGATACTGGCTCTTCTCACCTCCACATGCACACACACACACAGCTATTACTAATCCATTGGGTGGAGGACGCACACAGAACGGAGCTGCGATGTTTGGATCAGCTCCTTGTGTCTGTGTGGCTACGGTTGTAGGATCTGTTCATCCCGGCTCGGCGTGAGCCACAAAATGAGGGGTGTGAAGTATTCACAGATCCAACAATGGAGACAGGGACCCGCCTCCAGACACACCCCTCCGTCCCCTCCGTGTGGCTCACAGCGTCTGACACGCGAGAACCAATCGGGGCGCAGACTGTGTAATCAATCATCCACGCCTGCTGCTGTGCCACTTGTGTCTCTGTGCAGGGGGGGGTCTGCCACCTCCACAGGCTCCCACCCCTCACCCTTCGCCCCCCTACCACCGCCTCCTCCCTGGAGTCGCCCGGTCCTCTTTCCAAAAAGGGAGTGGCGGCTCTGGTCACAAGGCCTCCAGCATCCCCCGGCTAACAAAGGCTGCTCTGTTCCGAGCCGCTAGCTGCAGCCGGCCAGCAGCTCTGGCCCCCCGAACACAACTGCTGCCGCTCTGCACCCCCCCCCCCTTCCCCTCCCCGCACCCCCCTCCCCGGTCTGAGACTCGCCCGGTTTCCGAACCAGCTGAGCACTGCGGTTACTCCGCTTTGTCAAATATCACAGAATACATGTTCAAATCTTTAAAGACACTCAATCTAACTGCTTTTCAACCGTTTCAACTGAATACATCTCAGCCTCACCTCAGCATCGGGACAACAATAATCAACAATAATCAACGGATTAATCATTGATGGAATTTGCTTTCCGGTACAAAAGTAATCTTACAACGCTGTCAGACTACTAATGGATGCAGCAGAACAGGAGCTATTGCCTCCAGCACTCTTCTTCCTCGTCATCACCATCACCCACAATGCACCTCAACTCTCAACAGTTCAGTCAGAGGCCCCCAGATTTGTTTTCTTTCTCAAACTTCTGGTCTTCGGCCCTTTGGGGGTTGAGGCAATAAATCAGATTCCCTCTGGCTCCCTCTGCAGCCATAAAAGGTTCCAAACTACTTCCGCTCTTTCACGTGTGCAGAAGCTCTCCCCCAGGACCTGGAAGCAATGTGACGTGGAATTATAGGTCCTCGTGTTCATAGATAAGTCGTCTCCATCCAAAGCTCACAGAAATATATTTATGAAACAAAGAAACATTTGGACTTTTATTTGTAGGAACCTGTGCCTAAATGTTTGATTTTATGTCAATCATCAAGCGTATTTCCTCAAACGCATAAACGGCAAACTCCTTTTACCAACAGATATCCCCCTTGCTTTTGTAAAGAAACTTGTACTTCCTCGGGCAGCCGCTCATGGCTTTTGAACTAAAAGGAGGAAAACACACACAAACACACACTTGCGCGGCGGCGCTCAGATGGCGCCGATGGAGCTAACCCAAATGGATCGCGTGGAATGGAACGGGTGCTGCGACGGCGACGCCACCACTCGGCTTCCAAAGATGGCGTCACATCACGAGCGTAACCGGCCGCCGTGACCCCGGTGCTTAGCGGCGCTCGGCGAGAGACGTCGGCCGCTCGAGTCGACGCTCCACTTCTCACACAGGCCCAAAAGCTGCTTGGCCAAAGTGCCTTTTCAGAAACAATTACTGCTCTTTTTCATCCTTGAAGATGGGCCCGTTTTGGGGGTTTTAGGCAAATGTTTTGGGAAAGTATCACTATAGGTGATTTTTTTTTTTGTTTGGTCCTTCAGCTTCAGCTGGCAAACACTAAAAGAAAGCAGGCAAAAATTAGCAGAACAATGCCGCGCCCTGAACACAGACTGCGCTCCACAACAATCGGAGGATTATGCGGAGGGGCCGGGGGAGAGAAAGTGTCTGATTGTACTGGCTCCACGCCAAACATGACAGTGACCTTTTTCCTCATGGGAACCTCCCGCAGCCTCGCAAACAGGACGTGGATAACGCTCAATGGGCGCCGTGTTGTTGTGCCGCTGGGTTTGCACGGCCCCGCTAATGTAAACGTCGCAGCAGAGACAGAATTTGTCGGCCATGACTTGAGAAGACCACTCAGTGAATTTGTTTTATGCGGGAATTAACAATGCCAGCGGGATTCATTTGGATTAGATTTAAGCTTGTTTTGTTGCTGATTTCATGCTTGACACATTGGCGATCCTGGCGATCGTTCTCTGCATGGTCATCATTATATGAATGACCCCCTTTTGTACTGCTGTCATGTGACATATTTTGTTGGGTTCCTAGAAGCAGGAGGCGACATTTCACCACTGGGTCGATATAGTACATCTCGTTGTGTTTTATGGCGGTTATAAACAAAAAACATCTTAAAACATTGCACCTTTGGAAAAATCAGTCATATTGACGACTCAATAAAAGGTCAACAAAAAGGTTTCACAAAATCAGGGTGCAATCCAATTGGCCGCAATGAAAACGTCCGCCAGAGACAGACGGAACATTTGTGGAGTCGGGTGGAGAAACGCTGGCAGGCCAGACATTCGTCACTTGATTTATGCGTCCCGGGTTATTCTAAAAGCAGCCTGCTCCCAGAATCAGCTGAGGGCATCGGCACACCGCCACTTCAAAAAAAGGCGTTTTTAATAAGACCCGATCTTTCAAAGTTACCTGCTAAACGAGAAACAAAAGAAACAACCGCCAGAGGGCAGAATGTGTAACCGAACACTTTCCTAAATACAGTTTGACTTCACGTAGAAACTGGACACATATACTTCAAGTGAAAAAGAAAACAACTTCCAGTCCTCGTTGCCCTCTTTGTGCAGTTTGAAGAATAGCTGGAGGTGCCTCGATCCCGCCACAGATCGCACTCCAGTATTCTCTGTTCAGGTGCTGATGAAGGCTTCGTAAATGGGTGAGGCGTGGGGGCAGGGGGGAGGCGGGGAGGGGGCGAACTGGAGAGCAGCCCGCTGTGTGCTGCTGAGCACCGTGAGATAACAGCGTGAACTAACCGAGGCGGCCTCGCTGAAAACACGGCGAGCTGCTACGCTACAGGTAGGCCAGCAGGCCCCCCCGGTGAGCGCTCATCCGCTGAGGATTGGAGTCCCAGAGACGTTAATCCGGAACAGTCTTCTTATAGGCGCTGTCTATTTTTACCTTCCTTTTAACGTGGGAGGCCGAGCTGCATTGACTTTACCGGAACGCTGGCCTTTTTTGTCATCTGTATTTGTGCCCTTCTCTTTACGCTGCAAAAGCCAAGTGAGGATACAGTGGATTACTTTGGCTTGACGATGAGTCAAATGACGATCTATCGGTCGATTAGTTTAATTATACAACAAAAGAAGGACATTTTACCGTGATTTTGAAGCTGCTGATTATTTCTCTGATTAATGAATTGCTTATTTTGTCTTGTAACTGAGCACATGTTTCCCTCCAATAATGTAAAGTCTAATAAATGTATTTATTTTACAAATCTGGGAAAAGCCGTCAATTATCGGAGTTGTTAGAATGTATATAGAAGCTGAATGTCAAACAAATTAAGTCATTTGAAGACCTCATCTTGGACTTTAGTAGATTAGATTTAGTAGATTTGTGGGCCACACCCCAAAATCCTTAGTATTAGCTTTACTTGGCTCTTGTCCTGCTTCTACCTTGGCTGTGGCTCCTCTGAATGCTCCTAAACCCAGGTGGTGAACTTGTTCATTCATTTTTGATGAGATCCGCCTTTAGAGCGTCCCCACCCGAGAAGCTGACTCGACTCCATCTGTCCAACACAAACCAGGACACTCCACCCTTAACGATTGAGGATGGATGGAGGAGACATTCAAATTCTGCTTTACCATGTTTTTCTATTGGCCATGAAAACACAGGGCTTCTTTGTCCCTGCTGCAGCCTTTCCTATTAACCCCCTTTTTAATTGAATTTAACCTAATTTCCTCTCCGCTCTGTTTGGTTTAACAAGCTTCTCCTTCACTCTGACACTGTTCCCCCGGAGGAGCCCAGTGGTGACGCAGGTAGTTCTGACCGGGACCAGCTGGCAACACGACACCCATTGAGCCACTAAGAGAATCTCCCGCTCAGCGGCCGCAGTCTCATGCAACACGTTCATCACGCCCGGTTCTCGGGAGGAAAGATACGTTTGAAATTCTGCTGCTGACCTTCTTCTTCTTCTTCTTCGGGAATAGGCTTTGGATCCATTTAGGTCCGACTTAATCACCACTGGGACTAGAACCCTTACTAATCCTCTGAGCTCTCCGCCGACTGGCTGCAAGAGAGTCCAGGAGGAAAACCATTCCCCTGAGAGGTTGGCTGCCTTACTTCACGGGGGGAGCGACATAATACGTCAGCCTGTCTTAATACACAATCAAGCCATACGTTTCGGCTCAAATGAAACCAGTGGAACATTAATATTCTCCACTATTTTTTGACAAATGTCATTTTGTGTTTTCCGTGTACTCCCAGAGTCAGAGGTTGGAGGCTTTGAATGCCTTAATGTGTTTAAACTAGAGAAATTTAACCTCCGACAGATGGCAACTACTCACATTTGACCAGCTGGAAATGGAACGTTTGGATTCTTTGCTCAACCGAAAGAACTCACAGCAGAGGATGAACCCTTTGGAGATACAATAGATGCATTTATTATCTGCACAAAGCATCGACCCCGATCAGCTCAACCTGCACACGCAACTTCCCTTCATCATCCTCAGCCAGCTGAACGAGAGAAACATGGGAGGAAATAGGACCCACCGCCCCCCCTCCCCTCCCTATTCTCTACTTCCCATTCAACCACAGCCCCGACGCCTCACTTGAAAATCTTTTGGACAAGGACCTCCTCAAAAAATTCGCAGTTCACCCTCATTACACGCTTTGGTTTACAGGATCTGTCCCGAGTCTTCCCCCATCCTCTGACCCAGCTCACAACCAGATGGTGATCATCTTCATCATTGACAGCTCTGCCCCTCTCTTTACCCGAGTGTCCAGAACATGCGGCCTCAGATCAGACGATACGATTACAAAATAGATCATTGATCTTTGGCCTAGGGTGCTCTGGTACCACGTACACTTATGAACATCCTTATGTCCAAACATGGTGTTTGTTATGAACAATCCGTGACTGGCACAGAAGTCCAGTAACAAACCAACCGCTCAGGTTCAGATCAGGGAGGCCATTCCTCCCAATCACGCCTCTCTAGTTATCTCCATCGTCGCCCACGTGCGCATTGAAGTCTCCCAGTAGGACTATGGAGTCCCCTACTGGAGCCTCATGCAGGACTCCATTCAGGCTCTACAAAAAGGCTGAATACTCCGAGCTGCTGTTTGGTGCATTTGCACAGACAACATCAAATTTGCCCCCCACCACCCGCAGTCGTAGGGAGGCGGCCCTG